TTCAAATCTCCTAACAGAAATGGAGAGCAATATACTACCAAGAACATCCGTCATAGTAGCTGGCAGGCATTGGCGGCATTGACGAAAGCGTGAAACAGAACGTGAAGAAGGAGGGCAGTAAAACAAGTTCTTTAAAAATTTACAGTCAAAAGTATCTCCCCGGCCGGAATTGAACCCGGTCTCCCGCGTGACAGGCGGGGATATCGACCACCATACTACCGAGGATGGCTGAAAGCAACACGGCAAAATAGCAGGCTGCTGTAAAGTGGAGGGCATACTCCAGCTATCATCCAAGTTGAAACATACGCTAAAACGTGACCATACTGGTATGCCCTCTTTCTGTGAGAGATACAGAGCTGTCACTGCACATTTCCATACATTATTCAAATCTCCAACAGAAATGGAGAGCAATATACTACCAAGAACATCCGTCATACAGCGCGCTACAGGCATTGGTATGTAATTGACGAACATGTGTACAGGAACGAAGAAGGAGGGCAGTAAAACAGTTCTTTAAAAATTTACAGTCAAAAAGATTCTCCCCGGCCGGGAATTGAACCTTCGGTCCTCCCGCGTGGATAGGCGGGGATACCGACCATATACTACTGAGGATTGGCTGAAAGCAAGACAAAAATAGCAGGCTGTGTACTCATTCAGCAGTGTAGCTAGCTAATAGCGGATGCAGTTAATTTATCATCGTCGTAATTGTGTATTTATTTTGGCCACCGATCTGGGCAGTAGTTAGAATTTTGTAGTGAAACCCATCTGAACCGATTTAATAATGAAAATTCTTTGCTGCGGTGTGGGAAACTTCTGCATCATCCGATTTCACCTTTGACTCTACCTACTTTGCTCGATCTTCGTTGAAGCTTTGATCCAGGTCACCTATTTGCGGACTTTACAGAAACTTGTGTGTTGTTTCGTGGTAGATTCTGCAATCTCGTACAGGAATTTTATAAATCCGTAATAAATTGATAGCAGGCCTCGGACCTCTACTATTATTGCAGGTTGAAATGAAAATGCTTGCTATGTGATGGTATTCCGAGATTTGTAGAAAATTTAGAAATAGGCAACGCGAGAGGTATTCAGAAACCAACGTTGGGCCAACGTCAGAATGCGTTATCTGGTATTTTACAGAAAAATCTGTTCCTAACTTAAAAGATTATGATAATAAAATATGATGAAAAGGAGCCCAGAGACTTTCTTCTTCTTTCATTTTAGAAATAGTGGTATTAATATATAGCTTTCTTGCCAAATATCTCTAGATCAGCATGGGCTTTCTTTGATATATCAGGAGACTATAAAACGATTAATATCCCCGATATATTTATGTCAGCGTCCGTGGTTTGTAACAAAACGTTGAAAGTGTTTCCCAACAGACTTTATAGTTACGTTATATTTTTTTTTAAATCGCCCAAACTGTCAACCTGTTTCTTGTGGAATAATGGGATTTGAACAATTAATTGTATATTCATATACTTATCCTATTGATGGATAACAATTTCTTACAACCTGTCTACTACAGCAAATATGTGTGTGATCTCATTATTATTTCACATTATATATACTTTTGTTGAGATCAAAGTAGTAAGAGTTCCTCCCTGCTCCCATCCCAAATAATATTTATAAATTAATATATACTAAAATGATTAAAAGTTTAATACAACAATTAGAGACCACAAAAAGGACTAAAAGTCCCAAATTTATGTTAGGTTTAGGTTTAGGGTTAAGTTTAAGGTTAGGGGAACGTGGAAGGAACTCTTCCGATCAAATCATGGATCTCAACAGAAAAACTATTATGTGGGTCAAATTTGGTTTAAATATCTACGCTTATTGTAAGCATGGGATCCTAGGCTTCAGTATATTGCATTGAATCTTTTGTGGATCCCATAACCAAGCTATTGACATGTGTTGTTTATTTGTCAATGATTGGTTCCATGATTTGCAAAAATGGTTGATTTCATGAAAAACCATTTTTGTTGTTTACCGTGTATCAAGTGCATAAGATTAGCTTCAAGTGACTATTTGCCTAATGAGGGGTTACCATATTATTCATCCAGTTTTAAATGATACAATTTCAAATTATAAATCTACGTTTAAGTAAAGTTGTGAATTTTTGTGATACTTAGCAAAGTGCGTGAGTTGTTTATTTCAGAATGTGTTTCAGCTTTACGATGTTTTCTAAACATATATTTACAAAAAGATGAATGTTATAATAACATAGCTATATGACAGATTTCTACAAATTAATTATGCAGTATGTTACAGTAATGCAAATGTGACGGTCCAGCTTTTACATATCCATACTTGACATCATCTTTGGTGTCAGTCATTATAACCATCCCATCCCCATAGTGATCTCAATGACATTGAATAGACACACAGATCCATTCAGCACTGGAATTCCAATCGAACCACTAACTGTTCTAAGGTAATTTTCATACATCAAGCATACCAAAATACAAATATAATACTACCAAGAACATCCGTCATACATACAGGCATTGGTGGCATTGACGAACATGTGTACAGGAACGTGAAGAAGGAGGGCAGTAAAACAGTTCTTTTAAAAATTTACAGTCAAAAAGTATCTCCCCGGCCGGGAATTGAACCCGGGTCTCCCGCGTGACAGGCGGGGATACTGACCACTATACTACCGAGGATTGGCTGAAAGCAACACGGCAAAATAGCAGGCTGTACAGTGGAGGGCATACTCCAGCTATCATCCAAGTTGAAACATACACACGCTAAAACGTGACCACTTGGCATGCCCTTTTCTGTGAGAGACACAGAGCTGTCACTGTACATTTCCATACATATTCAAATTCCCAACAGAAATGGAGAGCAATATACTACCAAGAACATCCGTCATACATACAGGCATTGGTGGCATTGACGAACATGTGTACAGGAACGTGAAGAAGGAGGGCAGTAAAACAGTTCTTTTAAAAATTTACAGTCAAAAAAAGTATCTCTCCCCGGCCGGGAATTGAACCCGGGTCTCCCGCGTGACAGGCGGGGATACTGACCACTATACTACCGAGGATTGGCTGAAAGCAACACGGCAAAATAGCAGGCTGTGTACTATTCCGCAGTGTAGCTAATAGCGGATGCAGTTAATTTAGCATCGTTTGTGTCTGTGTATTTATTTGGCCACTGATCTTTGGAAAGTAGTAGTTAGAATTTTGTAGTGATACCTTAATTAGAAAACTGATTTAATAATGAAAATTATTCTTTGCTGCGGTGTGGAAACTTCTATCCGATTTCACCTTTGACCTTACCTTACTTTGCTCTCGATCTCTTCGTTGAAGCTTGATCCAGGACACCTATTTATGGACTTACAGAAACTTGTGTTGTTTCGTGGTAGATTCTGACACAATCTCGTACAGGAATTTATAAATCCGTAATAAATTGGATATGGAAAATATACCCACCACTTAGTGCAAGCCTGACCCTCTACTATTATTGCGTAGGTTGAAATGAAAATGCTTGCTATGTGATGGCATTGCGAGATTTGTACGAAATAGGCAACGCGAGAGGTATTTAGGAAACCAACGTTGGGCCAACGTCAGAATGCTATCTGGGTATTTTACAGAAAAAATCTGTTCCTAACTTAAAAGATTATGATAATAAAATATGATGAAAAGGAGCCCAGAGACTTTCTTCATTTTTTAGAAATAGTGGTATTAATATATAGCTTTGCCAAATATTCTAGACTTGCATGGGCTTTCTTGGATATATCAGGGAGACTATAAAACGTAGATTATCCCTGGATATATTTATGTCAGCGTCCGTAGTTTGCACAAAACGTTGAGTGTTTCCCAACAGACTTTTATAGTTACGTTATATTTTTTTTTAAATCGCCCAAACTGTCAACTCGTTTTGTGGAATAATGGGATTTGAACAATTAATTGTATATTCATATACTTATCCTATTGATGGATAACAATTTCTTACAGATCCTGTTCATCTGCCAGCAAATATGTGTGATCTCATTATTATTTCACATTATATATACTTTGCTGAGGATCAAAGGTAAGAGTTCCTCCCGTTCCCCCATCCCAAATAATATTTATAAATTAATATATACTAAAATGATTAAGAAAGCTTAACACAACAATTACTAGAGAACTCACAAAAGTGACTAAAAGTCCCAAATTTATGTTAGGTTTAGGTTTAGGGTTAAGTTTAAGGTTAGGGGAACGGAAGGAACTCTTTCCGGATCAAATCATGGATTCAACAGAAAACTATTATGTGGGGTCAAATTTGGTTTAAATATCTACGCTTATTGTAAGCATGGATCCTAGGCTTCAGTATTGCATTGAATCTTGTGGATCCCATAACTGCTATTGACATGTGTTGTTTATTTGTCAATGATTGGTTCCATGATTTGCAAAATGGTTGATTGGTGCCATGAAAACCATTTTTATGGTTACTCGTGTATCAAGTGCATAAGATTAGCTTCAAGTGACTATTTGCCTAATGAGGGGTTACCATATTATTATTCATCCAGTTTTAAATGGATACAATTTCAAATTATAAATCTACGTTTAAGTAAAGTTGTGAATTTTTGTGATACTTAGCAAAGTGTGAGTTGTTTATTTCTGAATGTGTTTCAGCTTACGATGTTTTCAAACATATATTTACAATAGATGAATGTTATAATAACATAGCTAAGGACAGATTTCTACAAAATTTATTATGCAGTATGTTACAGTAATGCAAATGTGACGGTCCAGCTTTACATTCATACTTGACATCTTTGGTGTCACTAAATTTATTATACCATCCTGATCCCCATAGTGATCTCACGACATTGGAATAGGACACTACAGATCCATTCAGCACTGGAATTCCAATCGGAACCACTACCTTTTCATACACGACTGTCTTGCAATTTTCATACATCAAGCATACCAAAATACAAATATTTGCAGCGTGCACTTTCTGTTAACAAAAGCATCAAACTCACTCCAGTGAATAATAACAACACATTCTCATAAAAGTCTTAGATTTTATTTCACATGTTACACAGTTGCAACTCATTGCACACAAGCTGATTCAATTTTTGTTCCATAGTTTAAATAGTCTTTACTCACAAAACATATCACATATCATTGACTTCCTTTTTATGACTTTTTCTCATGAAAACTTATAATTTCTAAACCACTAAAGATAAAATACTGTTAATGAATCAAACTAATTGCAAGTCCCGAAGAATTCTTAACAGCTGTTTCCAGGGTGTAGACTTAAAAATCTATGGGTATAAAATTTAATTGATTTTGCTAAATCATAGCTGAAGATTAAGGTATTCCTCAACAAGATGAAAAGAATTATCTGTAATGATGGTATGTGTATCACATGTTATATATCACCTAAACAGAATACCTAGCCCACTTTTGATACTTTCAACATTACTGAATGACTAGGCCTAAATGCAAATGCATACATTTTCACAAAACTCTTTTTGACAAGTAAAATCACAAAAAAGAAAAGTAGACACCAATTATAAACTTCCACAAGTCCAAACTGTAGATCATTCTAATCATTCATACATTTACTAGATTCTCAAATTGCCTGACAGAATGTTGACCATATCAAACCCCTTTTGTTACAGAATAAATAAACTCCCTCAAGGATGAACCATGTGGCTTCATGATTATGTACAAAACAACAGAGTATGTACAAGTTGTTGCCTTGGCAAATGACAAAAGCATGATATGAAACATATGAATAAAAGAAAGATGTAATATTTTTTTTCATTTTTTCCCTCAATTTACTGACTGATGAGCTATGTACAAAATGAAACCTCTAGCTAACAGCAACATCAACATTTTCCAACCCAGCTGAGTTTCAAGAAAACGCATCATAATGTTGCTTTTACAATAACAACCGCTGTTATACCAGATGGCTTGGCCTGTCAAATGGATGTTCAGAACAAACGTAAATCAATGCTTAAAAATAAGTAATTCTTCACTCCCTTTGTTTCAAATTTACACACATACAAATTAATTTACTGGATCCACTGAAGTGTTAAAAGTCCTAGTTATGCCAGGGATGTTATGTACAAAACATGCTTGAGACAGGCCATGTGAAGGTGAGGCCCAGCGACATCTTCCACCAGCTTGCTCACTGCAGTGGCGGTGGTCACAGGGCGTTTACCTTCCTCATCCTCCCCCTCCCATCGGTGGAGGACTTGGCGCCCCTGAAAGACAAACAAGAACATGAAAGATTGTACAAAGAAACACTGAGTTGTTGTGGCAATATGTTGAAGCTAACATGTCAAAAACTGAAATGGTGTACAAGTGAAATACTAGTGAAATTTGAAATTTGAACTTAAAACTACATCCTGATTACATAACTCAGATGAATGAATGACTGATTGGAATTGCTAACATTTTAACATAGTATTATCATTGTTATTTAATGACTTCATGCACAACCGCTCTATAGCTGGGCTACTGACAAGTGTGGCGTAAAACAACAAAACAAAACAAACAAACTTCATCCACTTCATTACATTAAATGGCCATTTCCATGTTTTCAATTTCTTTGTGTTCATCAAGCCATTGTGATGTGAGAAAGCAAAACAAGATAAGCACAACTAAGGAAATGGACAGGCAAGGTCAAATGTCAAGAGAGAGTGTGCATTTTGGTTTTAGGCCACTTTTAACAATATTCCAGCAGTATCACAGCGGGGGAAACCAGAAATAGGCTTCACACATTGTACCCATGTGGGGAATCGAACCCAGGTCTTGGGCATGACGAGCAAATGCTTTCACCTCTAGGCTACACCACCGCCCCTCAAATGTGCAGAGGGGCGGTGGGGTAGCCTAGAGGTGAAAGCGTTGGCTCATCACGCCGAAGACCCGGGTTCGAATCCCCACATGGGTACAATGTGTGAGGCCCATTTCTGGTGTCCCCTGCCGTGATATTGCTAAAAGCGGCGTAAAACCAAACTCAGTCAGTCAGTCAAATGTGCAGAAATCAACTAGTAAATGTTGAATGACACTGATGTCGTAGACAACTATTTAAACTGCACACAACATGATAGATGGACCAGTGTGTTTGAGTGGTTGAATTCAGCTACATCACAATGGATGCTGTCAGGTAAGAATCAGTTCCTGGGTGTACTCAATTCTAGCAGTAAGATTGAGTTATGATTCATCATGTTAATGCTGTGTCTTGATTTCAAGCAATAGAACAGAAAACCCTGACACAGAATGTTTGACTTTGTATGACAGACAACACTACAATATATTCCGTATGACACTATCAATGAATTATCTCCCCTGGATCATACCTGGTCCGGCCCTGAATCCTCCCATCCTTCTGCGTGGACCTGGGCCAGGAGGGCTGAAACACAACAGCATACAAGATTATACAGATGTGTCACAGATATACACAACATTATACCAATAGCATCCAACATTGTACTGACAGCATCCAATACCATTGAGACAGCATACAACATCATACAGATAACATACAACATTGTACTGACAGCATCCAACACCACTGAGACAGCATACATCATACAGATAACATACAACATTGTACTGACAGCATCCAACACCACTGAGACAGCATACAACATCATAAAGATAACATACAACATTGTACTGACAGCATCCAACACCACTGAGACAGCATACAGCATCATACAGATAACATACAACATTGTACTCACAGCATCCAACACTACTGAGACAGCATACAGCATCATACAGATAACATACAACATTGTACTGACAGCATCCAATACCACTGAGACAGCATACAACATCATAAAGATAACATACAACATTGTACTGACAGCATCCAACACTACTGAGAGAGCATACAACATCATACAGATAACATTCAACATTGTACTGACAGCATCCAATACCACTGAGACAGCATACAACATCATACAGATAACATACAACATTGTACTGACAGCATCCAACACCACTGAGACAGAATACAGCATCATACAGATAACATACAACATTGTACTGACAGCATCTACCACCACTGAGACAGCATACAGCATCATACAGATAACATACAACATTGTAATGACAGCATTCAACACCACTGAGACAGCATACAACATCATACAGATAACATACAACATTGTACTGACAGCATCCAACACCACTGAGACAGCATACAACATCATACAGATAACATACAACATTGTACTGACAGCATCCAATACCATTGAGACAGCATACAACATCATGCAGATAACATACAACATTGTACTAACAGCATCCAACACCATTGAGACAGCATACAACATCATACAGATAACATACAACATTGTACTGACAGCATCCAATACCATTGAGACAGCATACAACATCATACAGATAACATACAACATTGTACTGACAGCATCCAATACCATTGAGACAGCATACAACACCATACAGATAACATACAACATTGTACTGACAGCATCCAACACCACTGAGACAGCATACATCATACAGATAACATACAACATTGTACTGACAGCATCCAATACCATTGAGACAGCATACAACATCATACAGATAACATACAACATTGTACTGACAGCATCCAATACCATTGAGACAGCATACAACATCATACAGATAACATACAACATTGTACTGACAGCATCCAATACCATTGAGACAGCATACAACATCATACAGATAACATACAACATTGTACTGACAGCATCCAACACCACTGAGACAGCATACAACATCATACAGATAACATACAACATTGTACTCACAGCATCCAACACTACTGAGACAGCATACAGCATCATACAGATAACATACAACATTGTACTCACAGCATCCAACACCACTGAGACAGCATACAACATCATAAAGATAACATACAACATTGTACTGACAGCATCCAACACTACTGAGACAGCATACAACATCATACAGATAACATACAACATTGTATTGTACTGACAGCATCCAATACCATTGAGACAGCATACAACATCATACAGATAACATACAACATTGTACTCACAGCATCCAATACCATTGAGACAGCATACAACATCATACAGATAACATACAACATTGTACTGACAGCATCCAACACCACTGAGAGACAGCATACAACATCATACAGATAACATACAACATTGTACTCACAGCATCCAACACTACTGAGACAGCATACAGCATCATACAGATAACATACAACATTGTACTCACAGCATCCAACACCACTGAGACAGCATACAACATCATAAAGATAACATACAACATTGTACTGACAGCATCCAACACCACTGAGACAGCATACAACATCATACAGATAACATACAACATTGTACTGACAGCATCCAATACCATTGAGACAGCATACAACATGCATACAGATATACAGATAACATACAACATTGTACTGACAGCATCCAATACCATTGAGACAGCATACAACACCATACAGATAACATACAACATTGTACTGACAGCATCCAACACCATTGAGACAGCATACATCATACAGATAACATACAACATTGTACTGACAGCATCCAATACCATTGAGACAGCATACAACATCATACAGATAACATACAACATTGTACTCACAGCATCCAATACCATTGAGACAGCATACAACATCATACAGATAACATACAACATTGTACTGACAGCATCCAACACCACTGAGACAGCATACAACATCATACAGATAACATACAACATTGTACTCACAGCATCCAACACTACTGAGACAGCATACAGCATCATACAGATAACATACAACATTGTACTCACAGCATCCAACACCACTGAGACAGCATACAACATCATACAGATAACATACAACATTGTACTGACAGCATCCAACACCACTGAGACAGCATACAACATCATACAGATAACATACAACATTGTACTGACAGCATCCAATACCACTGAGACAGCATACAACATCATACAGATAACATACAACATTGTACTCACAGCATCCAACACTACTGAGACAGCATACAGCATCATACAGATAACATACAACATTGTACTCACAGCATCCAACACCACTGAGACAGCATACAACATCATAAAGATAACATACAACATTGTACTGACAGCATCCAATACCATTGAGACAGCATACAACATCATACAGATAACATACAACATTGTACTGACAGCATCCAACAGCACATAACACTACACAGACAGCATACAACATTATACAGATAGCATACAGCATACAATACTGTACTGACAGCATCCATTAATGCCGAGCGCCAGGCAGGGACCAACAAGTACCATATTTTACCGTCTTTTTGGTATGGCACGATCAGGGATCGAACCCGCAACTTTCCGCTCTCCTAGAGGACGCTCTAACCACTACACCATGGAGACGGTCGACTTGAAATGGTAATATATAAAGACAGTGTCCGCCTGATGGCGAGCAGTACACCATGGATGAGAATGAAACAACTCACCCTCCAGGTCTGTAGTCAGAAGTGTGACTACTCCCATACTTGGTCTTGTTGGGCTGAAACAGTCAGTGATTGCTTAAACACATCAGTTTTTGTTTGAAAACATGAAGGCACCCAGGCAAAATGCTAACAAAAACACAGTCTTACGCCATATTCCCCACAAATGAGTTGGAAGTAAGTAAAAGTGAAGATGCAGATGGATATTAGATCATCAAATCAGTAAAGAACACAAAATCAGGGCCCTTCAACTTCTCGAATATGAACAACTCAAAAGTCAGAATTCCTTTTCCTCATCACCATGTGAAATGTTCATTAAGACATTTTCATCAGATTCAAGTGACAGCATGACAAAACATTTCATGAATACCCATGGAATACATATTTCTCATTATGTGAGAATTAATACACGTCACATTTTGACTTGTTGTGGTTGTTTGTTAATACCATTTACACAATCAACAAATGTCCCATCACACCTGAAAAGCATGATGTCTGAATGTCACCATTCATGACTGGCTGGTCCCAAATTATGACTGTCAATTGATTTCATATGCAAAATTAACCCCAAACATATAAGAGTGCTTCACTTGTGAATATTCATAACTTTCAATCAAGTAAAACTAAAAGCAGAAACTAAAATCCCTTCACTTAGACTATACTATTCCTGATACAGAAAAATATATATTTGGATCAAATTTTGGTATGCTTTTATTCTGAATCACCAACTGACCAACTTGAAGTATTGCCATGGGCTCACATGCATAATGCGATCTTAGCGCTATAATGATTGTAACTCCCATTTACAAACATAGGCTTAAGATAGTTGTAGTGCTAAGATCGCTTTGTGCAAGTGGGTCATGAACATTATCTCATGCAATTAGGGAATAATATTCAACTATATATTGCACCTTGCATTCAGCTCTTACACTGCCATAAAATACTTGGACAAATTTAACCTGAAATCCTTACAGGACTGCAGACTTGGATCGCACTGAAGTGTGTCCAATTTTGACAAAAGAAATTTACTTTGAGTTTGAGTTAAGTTAGTTTTAAGCCGCACTAAGCAATATTCCAGCTATATGGAGGCGGTCTGTAAAGAATCGAATATGGACCAGACAATCCTGTGATCAACATTAGGAGCATCAATCTACACAATTGGGATATGATGACATGTGTCAACCAAGTCAGCGAGCCTGACCACCTAATCCCATTAGTCGCCTCTTATGACAAGCATGGGTTACTGAAGATCAATTCTAACCTGGATCTTCACGGGTTAATTTTAGCATGAACACAAGGGATGACTGACTGACTGAGTTTGGTTTTACGACGCTTTAGGCAATATTCCAGCAATATCACGGCGGGGGACACCAGAAATGGGCTTCACTCATTGTACCCATGTGGGGATTCGAACCCGGGTCTTCTGCGTGACGAGCCAATGCTTTAACCACTAGACTACCCCACCGCCCCTACAAGGGATGAAAGATACTCACATCATACATGGTCTGGAAGCTGTAAACAAAACAGAGGTACTAATTAACAACTACTAATACTACTGACTGACATATCTCCATATTATGACTTTGTACTGTTTGACAAACTGCACAGCAGACCAAGGTTACCAATGAACTGTAATCATCATAATCCTAATATTCTATGTACATTGTTGAGGATGAACATATTAAGGTCATTTCACCATTGGTCACTCAGCTTGTTTCTGTCCAGTGCCACAAGCAGCACACGCGTAACATTCCAGTTATATCAAAGTGATCTATAAACATAATAATTAATCAAGGATTGACCAGACTTAGTAACATAGTAACTACGCTAACATATTACATATGAAATCTGTTAGATAGATCTGTACAATAACAGTGTTAAAAATTAACGTTCTTCCTCACGCCAAAAGACGACTGAAAACCACTCAGACCCACAGCTTTTGTTTTCTGCAGGTCCTTATGGCTGACAGCTTTTCCATCCCCAATAACTAGGGTATTGCATTTCAGAAAATATCATCCAGTAATTTCTAGTTTTTATCTCGATCAGCAGCTGTTGTCTGTAAGTGAAACAACTATCATTTTCGAGGAAGCCATTTAGATTACTGGGATATGATCTTTTAACCTCGAACAAGTTATCCTTTAACTCTTTAACACAGTTTGTTTGCTGGGAATTACTTATATTTGGGCTAAAATATAGGGCCTACACATTCTGATCAGGACCGACAACTTTTTATGGTTTGGAGTCCTTAGGGCCTGCAGATTTTCAGGGTTAACACTGCGCCAGAGAATACAATATGCAATACAGGTGTGACAAGAACAACTCTATCATGTCTATTTGTGCGACACAATGTGTATCTGGATAAAGGACTTATGTGTATAAAGCCAAAGTTCTGTTTTTTTCCAGGTGAGTCACACCACTGAAACATTTATTCATAACTTTTAGATCTCAATGATGTTATATTATGTAGGGGAGAAACCCATAGCTAAAAGGGCATAGTATATATTAAGGTATTTATAACCAACAGGGAGATATTGACAAGTCTGGGTAAGCTGGTTGTTGAATAGTTCCTTCTGCAATTTACATATGGTAAAAGTTTTCACACCATCTCAATTTGAAATAATCAATGAGTCATGACCCAGGGATTGTAAACCCATATATTTGTATTTGTTATTTCACAATCACTGACTTGTTTTTAAACATAAGACAATATCTTTTTCAAGGCTACCCAAATCACTGTGATGCCCCTCCTGTTGTCTGGGTGTCCATAAACATGCAAACAAATAAAAACAAAACAAAGGTTACTAAAAGAAGCAGGTACCGTATACTACTGTCTATAAGCCGAATTTTGAGGACCAAAAAAAATATGTCTGTAGAAGGAGGTCGTCTTATATATGAGATACAATTTCACGGAAATATTTTTTAGCTCGCCAGTGCCCTGCCAGGACGATGTTACAGGTTACCGGTTGCGGTACATCTGCCAGGATGTTGGCCACGATTACAGCATTTATATTGTGAAGGATGAATAAAATGCATATTAACCTGTACGTTTTCATTATTTCAACATATTATTACATATTAGTCATTATGACATTTATCGTACAATCAGATGTGCACACGTTTCCTGGCGATCAAGTTCAAACATGCACAATAATATAACGGGATGAATTCTGGCACAGTCATCAGTAAAATATTATAAAGAATACTATTATTTAACATACAGAAATATATCCTACCATTGTGTAATTTTAATTCTAGCACGACATTGTGTGATACTCGATTCTGATTGGCTGAGAGCTCATCAAACCGTACTTAAATGGCAGTTTAAGACCGCTAATTATAGAGACCGATTCACCACGTATGAATACAACGACCTTGTTGACCCTATTGTTTGTAAACAAACATGTCGGACATCGGCAATTTCTATCTCAGCAGCATCTTTGGGGAGTTTTTTAAAGTAAAAACCGAATAGTTTGAAGGAGAATTTTTTTAACCTAATCCCAGTGAAGAAACTACGAAGCTGGAAAATCTGTCAGCAGCGCAAAAGCAGCAGTATATATTCAAACCGGGTCCAGATCTACGTGTGTTGACGTCGACAACACACTTCGGCCCACACGTCCTAACCTGACCACTTCCGTCCCGGCCGTAATGCCCAGTCCTTCCACTTCCACTGTCCATGTATCCCACATAAAACATGGCATGTCAGGTCTTTTCCAACTTGGGAATTGTAGGGCGGTTATCAACAGTTATTAAAAATTTCCGTGAATAAAGTTAGCGGCGACTAAACTTAGCGACTTCACGGCTTGAATTGGGACGAGTCAATTGTCATACAGTAGGGGAGATCAATAATTCGCTTGAGAAAAATCAAATAATTGTACTTGCTCACAGTATAAACTGTATTTTTTAAAATTTATGTATGCTATTTGTTACAAATAGAAGCATACTGGTTCCTGAAATAAAGCATTTATGTTGTTGAAAATGTCTCATTTTGTTCATTACACAACCTGTCCCTCAACGGGACGATTCCAAGCAATTTCCAGGAAAAAGGCCCCTTCGCGCCTTGTGTTCTTGCGCACCAAACAGTTCGGTTTTAAAACGCTTATCAGACGTGCTAGAATGAAGATAAAGCTACACTGTTTTCAATTTTGCGGTCCTTTATCGTTGATTTAAGACCGCTAAATGTTTAATTTAAAACCTCACGCTAACGCGTTCAGTTTTTAAATTACACTTAGCGGTCTTAAATCAACGATAAAGGGCCGCAAAATTGAAAACAGTGTAGCTTTATCTTCTAATTACAGTTTTTGCTCTATAAATTAATTAAGAATAATACTTCAGAAAAATGACTGATAATTTCAGCTGATTGGAACAGCACTACTTACAACAGTAAAATGAAATTGATAAATCCCCAGAACATTTCTGGGATGACTGATAGTCGCCATGGCGACCTTGAATCAAGGACTTGGCCTGCAACAAAAAGTACAGAATGTTACATCCCATCAGAGTGTAATTACAAATAACATGAATCTGATACAATTGTTTTATAAAAGCATCCTTGGATTTTCCATTTTTTCAAATGAACAACGCCTGACAAGTTACCTGTGTTTGAAGTGTTTATTTTCTTTTTGAAAGTAATACTAATAGGCCTTGAAATACATATTCCCGTTAATGCATTTCTCAAGACTTTGTGAATCTACAGCACTAATTTTAAATCAGTGACAGATTATTCTCACTGGAGATATTTCTCATTTTGAGCATTGAAAATGTGTGTGCGTGCCTGTGCGTGTGAATGGAATAGGAAATTATGTACAGTACATTCATATGCATAAATACATGTATATGTCAGGGTAGAGACTGCGATCTGGTAGAATCGGCGATTCTACCAGTAGAGATTGCGATCGGAGTCTCTACCAGTAGATTTGAACTAGGCGATCATCATAAACAAAATGAGTCTCTACTGGTAGAATCTCGATCCTACTAGTAGAGATTGATAATCAGACATGTTAGTCTCTACTGGTTGAATCGGAGATTCTACCAGTACATTCTCCAATTCAACTGGTAGAAACTCTGATCCTACTAGTAGAGGCTGCAATCGTCTTCAACTGGTAGAAACTCCGAGTGATCTGTGGGTAAACAACACAGACACTTTTTCTGAACAGTACTATGCATTTTATTCAGATATAACACTAGACTGTTTCCACTTCTACAGATATATTAAGGACTAAAAATACAAATGGGACTTGAGAGATCATATTACAATACATGTATATACATATATTACAAAACTGATTACAAGCAAGATCAATTGCATAATCAGTGTTTGCCCTAGGCATAAGAATTTAGGAGTCATCATGACTCCCTGGTGTTATGAGAGGGAGTCATGGACATGTTTTTGGGAGTCAACTTCTTTCATCAAGAGACCAACTGTTATTGTTTAATAACAACAGGTCCAAGTAAGGCAGGTTTTGAAATACATCTGAATGAACTTCCTACTTTTAACTGAGACTTTTATAACAAACATTTAACACCTCACTGTAAACAATATCAAAATAAAAATGGTTTGTAACACTGTATTTACATCATGAGACCAAGCTGCCAAATTTGGACACCACTCAAAAAACAAAAACAAAATACCCCCACTTAATTATACTTGCTTGCATAAGCTTGCACTTGCTTGCATAGTTTATTCCATATAATCGTAGTCTCTACCAGTAGAGACTACGATTGCAATCTCTACTAGTAGGATTGGAGATTCTACCAGTAGAGACTCTGATCGCAATCTCTACTGAGATTCTACCAGATCGCAGTCTCTACCCTGACATATACATGAGTCTTTAGCAAAATTAGACATGCAAAATGGAAAATATACAAACCAGATAGGATAATAGCACTTCTATGTGCAATCAGAATGTAATGTGTCATTGTCATAAATATATGTTTACATTTTACCACATGGTCAAATAATGATATTTTGCCATTGTTTACTGAATATATATTGAACAATACACAAACAGCTGACTTGTAATGGTATCAGTTACTTGATATTTGTGATTGTATCATATTCACCTCATAATGGATCTGTTGCAGCCCTAATATATAATTCTGTTAATTTATTTGTTTTCATCTGTTACAAATATAAAGGCATGGGAATTGGATGGTTCATGCTGGTTACCTGCACACAAGATTCCTCGTTCTTAAAACACTCATATCATTCATTAGACAATCACTTTGAACATGCAAATTGTCACTGTGTGCCTATCTCAGGTCCCCAATGTAGCTAATAGTAGCTATCATTTTGAATGATGCAAGATTCACAAGTTGAAGTAAAAATCAATTTGTACTGTTTATTATGGTGCAAACTAACAGTTTGCCAAGGAAGAGGAAATCATTTGGGACTGAAGTAATTTTGTTGTGCTAGCTCATGAAAAAAAGTATGATTTTACCCATATCTTAACCACTACATGATGGTTACAACAGAGCATAACAATGATTGAATCACTGTGTAACAGGTACACTGTAAACAAAGCTAAAATTAGCTCTTGCCCACAGCTGTGATTCTGGCCCTTCTTTCCTTTGTGTCAGCTGTTTTAGGGGTGTGCTCCAACTGTGCCAACTTTTGAAAATCAAGGGATTAGGGGATTAAGGGGTTAAAGTTGGCATGGGATCTGGTGTACATAAAAAAAATTACATGACTTTGACTGTTTATGTTTTTCATTTTTCACCATTTCATCTTTTTTCCCCATGGTGTATATTCACCAACAACCACCACTGACATTGATTTCCCATGCTTTGGAAAGCTTGCAATACATACATTCAAAGATTCATCAATACGTATTCATACCTTCATAGATTTATCAATACTGTTCACTTACAATGCAGTTAGATTTGATACACCATTTGCATACTCAAAGATTATCTTGGTGCCATTCTCAAGGGCATTCTTCCGAGTTTGAAGTCTCTGATTTAACTGCCTGTATTTCCTTCTTTTAGGCCTCAATTTCCAGTTGGCAGTCAGTTGCAAGATGTTTGCCTCAGAAAATGCTTGCTCATACTTGAAGAAGTTCAGTAATTTAAAAATATTAGGATTCAAGTATGGATGTAATCCTGATAATTGGGACTCTACTGGACAATTGTTGGTCCTTTTAACATGTTAAACATGCTTAAAGACAGAGTAGTGTATTCTTAACATTATTCATGTAATAAACTGTAATGACATTCCTTAAAATACATCAGTAATATCAAAGATTATTTAGGAGCTGTTATTAAGAGTAATCTATGTTAGTTCATCTTACCAATCATAACACTGAATATTTAATCAATTCCAATTTTGTTCGCCTTTAGCAGGTGAGGTTTAGTTCATCCATCGGGAGGTAGACGCTTTTTTTGAAAGTTGGCATATATGCTGACCATGCTAGTTAATCCCTCTATTGTTCCTCGCATGGGTGACTCGTGATGTTTTCACGAAGGTTGGAACACTGGGGGTAAACCAAGGGCAGGTACACTCTGTCTTTAGCCCTTTGATCCCCTTTTTAAAGCAACCTTTATGGTCAGTAGGAATAGGGACCTCATTCTTTTGAAGCCCATACAAAGACATTTACTGAAGACTAAGTGAAAATCCAAGTCCTATTTGAAAATTCAAGAATAAAAATGACTGTATTTAGAGTTGCATTGCCCTATCTTGGCTGAGTATGGCTTGATTACAAACAACCCTTTATAAATGGGTTTTACGATCCCTAACTTTGGCAGTTTGGGATCGTAAAGGGTTGTTGTAATCAATTTTAATTTCAAATACTTCCACTTCTTTTAATCAATGAGATTAATGTAATGTTATGTCTGAACATAATCTTTACATCTAAGGAGCAATGAATAACAATAACAATGTAAACAATAACGTGGGCTTGGATTAACGAAATTAGCAGACGAAGTCATACATTTACGCATGTTAATTATCATTGTTTTCGCTTGGTCAAAATCGTTGTGGACGTGTTAACTGCTCAAACACAAGAAACGTGGAAAAAATAAAACACCACATCAAGTATCTGCCTCTTGTTATTTAAAATAAATAAAGTAATGCGTTACCTTCCGACACGTACACCATCCCCAGTAAAATCACTTGTCACTGTTGTATGCTCCCTCTGGCGGCGGAAACGGGAATAGTCTCCCTTGATATAGACGGTGTCGCAACCTCCCACCTTCGTTGCAAATAAAGAGAGCTCATAGGATATAGGCTTAGCAATAATACGTTTTGCTTCTACATTTGAAGCACCGACTTCGTTTTTAGGGATGTATTTATATTTACTGAGCACCAAGGAAAGTAGCTAAGATACATAGCGTTCACTGACATGTCAGTGAACGCTATGTATCTTAGCTACAAGGAAAGCTCATTGAATGGGCTATTGCTGTGAGGAGCTTGAAGGTTCATTGGCCTGCTTTTAGCGCTTGCGCTCCTTGCCGCACTAACTGCAAGAGTCGAAGGCAGGATACCAGTCTTTTTCTATTTTTATCAATAGTTCAAAACATTTGTCAATAATTAGAAACATTTGTCAACATTTTTGTCAGTTAGTAAAATATTTTTATTTATGTCGTTTCATTTTGTAACCTACGTTGACGGGAATCTTACCCAATATATGATTTAACATTCCAACCTCTATTCAGCGTTCGAAATACCTGATGCCCGACAGCCCGGGACGGGGTATTTTCAACCCACACTGCCAGTTTCTCAAATTCACCGGCACGACGATCGGGTTAAAGTTAGACATGTACATGTTTTAATTAAATTATACTACGTAAGTTAGTACATTTTGTGGGCAGGTAAGCTTTGGTCAGGGCTGGCAAGTATTAAAATCAGCCCTGTGGTCTGGCTGTGAAAGTTTTGGGGAGTTTCCTACCCTGCTGTATTGTACTACTATAGTACTTTAAGTGGAGACGAAACACGTTTCACTGTGATCAAAGTTAAGCTAGGTAGGCCTAAATGCTTTGTTTTAATTAAATACATAAGATTGGGGCAAATTCTTTTGGATTAGTAAACTTGATAGAGCGAACAAGTAGAAACTAACAATATTTGAAATTAATATTTATGCTTTATAAAATGATAATTTTGCATCCCTTTTGCATATTAACATTTACATTCTGAAGTTGATGTAAACATCGTGACAATCAATAATTAATGTCTTTAATTTTCAATTAAAATTATTCTAATCTGACACAATCTCTTTATTGTGTTAAACTAACTTTATATTACTTAAGCGCATTTGAGAATATAGGTTGGAGCAAGCGGTGTGGAAAACGAAATAAAAACATTTATTTCAATTTCGACCTAGCTACCCATTTAATATATTCCGAGAGACAATATGTTTACCTGTGGCCTAGCACTTACTGTGGTTTCACATATGCTATTTCAACAGTGTTTGGGAACTCCCACGGAAACAATGTTGTAAACAAATATCCTGAAGATTAATAATATATAATGTTTAATGCAGCACCGATAGGGATTTAGCATAACTATAATGATGATATCTGATGTGTCAGCATGGCATTTCGTAGCAGACACGTAGTTCGTTTTGTCTCATCTAGTTTCTCGTACTGACCAGGGCGGTGAGATAGCCTAGTGGTTAAGGCCTTCGTTCGTCACTACGAAGGCCTGGGTTCGATTCCCCACATGGGTACAATGTGTGAAGCCCATCGTCATGTGCTAGAACATTGTCAAAAGCGGGGTAAAACCACACTCACTAACTCACTCTCCTACTAAATATAGCCATATGTTAACCCCCAAACCAGTTTGAAATCTTTGTCAAGCGTAAACTCGTGAAAATGGAAAATATCTTATGTTGAAAGGGTGGCGTTCCTGTTTAAAAATAACTAAAATGATTTAATTTCAGAGACTAAATGTAAGTATATGTATACACTTTAGGCCATGGGGCGGTGGTTAAAGCGTTGGCTCGTCACGCCGAAGACCCGGGTTCGATTCCCCACATGGGTACAATGTGTAAAACCTATTTCTGGTGTCTGCCGCCGTGATATTGCTGGAATATTGCTAAAAGCGGCGTAAAACACCACACTCACTCACTCACTCGCTTCAGGTCAACTCCCAGACACGATCCAGTGTATCGTCCAATTTGATTCCGACTTGAATACTTTCGCTCAGCAACACGTGCCTATCCACATCAGTACACAGGTTCCCAGTAGCACACTCTTCTTGTTGGACCCGACGACTACAACATGGAGTGGATGACTAGACCGTGTCACTGGACTGATTGATGGACACTGGGCCCCGATGACGTGGATCGATATTCATTTTGTCAGTCACGGGTTTACCTGGTCCAGACTCGATTATAAATACGTTCCTGTGACATTGTTTGAACATTCCAATTGTGTGGTAAAACCCTCACTCACACACGTACCCCGGGTTGCGGCTTGTAACGTGTTAATTCACTAAGATGTCAGTTTGCGTACAATGGAAGAACCTTGGTGTCAGTACTTTTGAAGACCCCCCAAGCATTCACTATATTCAATGTGTGTGCGCGCGTGTAGAATGAGTAACACTATAGGTAAAAAGGTAACAGAAACGGCAAAAGACCATTCACAAAGAAGCGTCCCTAGAATGTTCACAAACTAAAATATGTCTGTTATCGGTGGAATACATTAAAACTCGACCACAACACATACACTGTAACTACGTCCTTATTTCAGGATACAGTCTAACCAAATTGTATAGCATTACATTTGAGTCCGTTGTCTTTCCAACCGTATCCCACTTCGGCCGACCCAAAGCGTACATGCACTAGATCTACCAACCCAGCGGTAAAAGTCCTCGGTTGAGGTAGAAAAAAAAAGATATTCAAATGCATCCCGAAAATAAATGCACTTGGCAGTTTGGGAAGTTCTCTCTTCTGTGATATCATCCATTCAATATAGGGAGGGCAAAATTACTGAAAATACACACGCTACTTTTTACTATTGCTAAATCACCATTCATAGCGTTATTTAGTGTATATTTTAAAATCTAAATAGCGAATTTGTACTCTGAGAATTGGAATTGAATTTCAAAAGAGCATATCAGCGATCAGGGGTATTGTTTTTGTTGTTTTTTTCATTTTCATCAAATCAGTAATGATCAATCTGTAGCGTCGTCGATATCGCCAGGAATGTTTTGGAAAATAACCTACCACGAATGTCGAATAAATGTTTATTACCCATATGGTGAAACATAACCAGTGTCATGTACATCATATGTGCATTTGTGCACATATCACGTCTTCCTAGCAACCATTGTTTCTGTATTTCGTCGTCTTTGACGTCATCAAACATTTGAATGTGACGTCAATGAAAATGGCCGTCACACTTGCTTACAGTTTTTACTGTCCAACTGTACATGAATAAAATGGATAATAAAGGAATTATTACGCTCGAGTAAGTATGTTATACGACTTATACGATACGAGTGTGAATTTTGTATTGCCTGAGAGAGAGCAAGCTATGTATATTTTCAAACAATAGATGACACTAAAAGTCAGTTTTGTTTGACATAGGGAAATATGTGATTTTCTCGTGTACACTTCCTCATTATACCGCGTTCTGGGATTACCCAATCCGTTGTACGTTGACTATCTTTAAAGGACGCTAAGGATATCGTGACATCCTGTTTGTCGACGAGACTGTAGTGAAGAAGCAGTTATGCAACACCAGAGACGCATATATATATTAAGTTGGACATCTCTTCATCATCATAAAGGTTCACCCTCGTACGGCTACACACTTCATTAAACATGTGGGACAACGTCTAATTGCACGGCCTTGAGAGTCGATGCTTTAACATACTGTCTCACATTCGCTGAACCACATTATTTTCCCTAATGCCGAGCCCTCCTTGCAATGCTAAAGCCCTAAATGAAGCAAGTCTAGATTTCCCAAGGTTCGGAATTTTACATCTCACTGGGGCTCCTTTTCAATTTAAATGGGATTATTTGTTACTACAGGTAACAAAATTATATATATTAAATTCTAAGCGTTAGTCTAATGTTTTAAGTTCAGACGAAGTTATATCATCTGGATTTTAGAACAAAGTAAACTGGGCCTGATTGTTTGTTTTCTTAAATATTATTGGTTCATAGACCCAGAACAAAAAATATATGAAAACTCAATTGACAGATATTTGTATTACCGATTCTGAAAATCACTACTCATTTTCTCCAAACCAGATATTACAGTCACCACGACAACATATCTAAAATATTGTGAGGATCTCAGCCATCATATCACTGAATTATTATCCTTTTAAAAACTACCGATCATACGTTTATACAATAAACACACAGAGTTGAAAATGTCTTTCTTGTTTTCAGAGAAACATATCCGTAAACAACCTAAATAAAAAGCGAGGCTTGTGACACTGTGAGTGTCGCAGCTCATACGTCAGGACAGATCTACTTTTCCTTACATCGTGTAAGAGCATGGTTGTAAATTTGGAGAACACTCAAAGTAACAATCAGTAACAGAATTGATGCAATTTCTTTCCACCCATCACACAGTTGAACTACTCCAGTTGTTTATGAACGCGCCTTACTAGATTGTTCTCAGTGACGTAAATGCGCATCACGCATTGCTTGTCAGATGACATTTTTAATGATAAAAGTATGTTCCTTGTACGAAGGAGGATTGTGTTTCATGAACACCTGCACATTAATTTCCCAAGAGACAGATCCGCGTTGTAAACATGATATATTATTTTCCACAACAATACGGGGGAGTTACCTTGTAATTAGCTGGGAGACAAAAACTGTTGTTACAACTCGTTTTATATTTTACGCCGATTTTCCAAACATTCATATTAAACTTATTCACAATTCCACACGACAAAGCAACGACGCCCAAACCTGGCAACCACTCCTGATTTCCAAAAATCACCAAACTGAAGGACTTCGGTACTGAAAACAACTCCGAATGAATGAATGAATGAATGAATGAATGAATGAATGTAGTGAGTGAGTGAGTGGGTGGGTGGGTTTTGGTGGGTGGGTGTTTGGATGGATGGATGGATGGATGGATGGAAGGAAGGATGGATGCATTGGCGGATCCAGGGGGTCAGGGTTTGAACCCCTGAACCCCTCCTTTCAAAATTCCTGGATCCGCCTATGGGATGGATGGATGAATGAATGAATGAATGAAAGGCGCCAATCAGGGTGTTATTAATAATAAGTATCTGGCTGTATATTCTTAAACATAAATAGCAGATTCGTAAATTG